GTCCTTTGTGTAGCAAATATTCTCATTTGCGTTCAGATGCGTAGAAATGTTCCTGAAGGTGTGAGCGAGAATCGTGCCGCGCAAAACAAGAAACTAACTAAGACTTTATTGATTGTTACAATTCTTTCTCTCATCTGCTAGTTGCTAGGTACTGTGATGGTGTTTGTTGTTCATGCGCACGGCCCTGAATATGCCATCGACAAACTTGATGAATATCGCGCCCTCAAGATTTTGCAGTTGGCAAATTCAATTGTAAATCCCTTAGTTTACACCTTTCAAATGCCAATATTCAAGTCTGAAATCAAGGAATGCTTTTCTAAATGTTGCCGAGCGAATGAGAATCGGATTGAGAATCGTAACGTCGAGATAGTTGCACGGGTCTGTGAGGAAGATGTTCAAGGAGATGGTGAGATATGCAACACTGCGAAACCAAATTGTAATTATTCTCCATGTCTGCTCTTCTGGATGCAGTTAACTATGTTTTCCTGAGTAACCCATTTTGTGTCAATGCTCAGCAGCCTTCCAGAATTTTATCATTGGCGAAAAAATACTTAAAGTACTTGGTTCTGAAAGGATGCTGCGTTAAGAACACGTTCTCTAAGGAGTCATGTTAGTTGCATTGTATATTTGAGGGAAGAGGCACAATTATTAACAGGCTCGATTACATACATTCAGTGTACACACGCTTTCTTTAAGGAAAAAAAGATGTTTTGGCTCTGAAGTGACACCCCGCGGGTTTATTTTACACCTCAAAGAACACCAAAACAATTTTTAATTGAAAAATAAATTAAAAGCGCCGCTATTGTCTTTCAAAGGACGTTCTAATGATGAAAAATGTAAATTCACATTTTCATTAACATAAATTGCATTTTGTCTACTGCTGACTTACGGAAGAAAAGGAAACGGATGGTGAATTAATTAGATTGTACATGTCTTTCAAGTGTTAATAAGGGTGGCTTTATAATGAACAACAAGCCTTACGCTCGGGCATCAGCAGTTTAGAAAGTGCCACTTTAACAGTACAATGCCATCCCCTACCACACCCATGATAAGAGAACAAAAATCAATCATTCGTATTGAAAGGAAAACTTCTTTCAGAGGATGGAGACTACTTTACCAGTAATATTCGGAGTAATATATTTCTTGGAAGGACTGTTGGCCCTTCTGGGTAATATTTTCACCATCTTTGTTTTCTGGAAGCATCGAGCGGAGTTGAAACGAACTTCATATCTTCTGGTGAATTTGGCTTTTGCAGATGTGTTAGTGGCAATCAGTATATTAATCGCTTTGGGCTGCGAAGTGCGAAACCTGGCTGAAGGCAATTATTATATGGTAAAGCAATGGCAATTTATCTTTTTCATGATTTGGGACACGCTCTGTGAAACAACCTCACTGCTGAGTTTATTAGTGATATCATTCGAGCGACTCTACGCAGTTCGCTGGCCTTTCCGTCATCGCACTTTGAGCACCAGAACCTATATCTACACTCTCTTCTTTGTGTGGGTTATTGCTGTACTTATCCTTGCGTTTATTTGTCTTTCGTTGGCCTTTGTTGAACATAGTAGAGTGATTTATACTGTTGCTCCCTTTCTTTCCTCGTTGGTCTTGATTCTCATCTGTGTAGGATATTTCCTTATTTACCTACAAACAAAACAGAATATTCCTGACGGATTCCACCAGAGTCGCATACAGCAAAACAAGAAATTGAGCAAGACTCTCTGCATTGTCACGTTTTCCTCCCTCGCCTGTTGGTTTCCTTCTATCGTCATAGCTCTAGCTATCGATTACACAAAGTACTACACTGCGAATTCATTGAAC